CCCCCCCCCCCCCTCCGCCCTCCTCCCAACTGCCCTCGTATTCCGAAGTTATACGGCCACCCAAATTGCCAGTCTATTCGGTCTGCTTATTTACCCCTATCTCCATTCTGAAGGATGGTTGTACTTTCTTACTAATGCCACGTTAACAGAAGTAAAATTTATTTTGACAGATAATTGATCCACCCCTCCCGTAAGTTGGCGATCCTACTTGCTGCTATGTTGTGGCGCACCCGGCACTCACAAAATTTCTTCCTCGGCAATCTCTCATACCCCCCGCCCCCCTCCACTGTATTATTGTTGATTGAATGTCGGCTTTTTGCCTCATTTCTCTACGGCGTTATTATTATTATTGTGTATTTTACACTCGGGAATAGGGAAATCGAGTTACCTTGGTTCTGAATTGCTTGCCATTAACGGTGTTGTCCGCTCATTTTGCATGAAATAATAACACACACACACACACCCCTCGCTTAATCTGGCTGCTACTTCCTGCTTCACGTTTTTTGGAGTCAAGGCGTTTCAGTGCATATACCCCTCCCCCTCCCCACCCAAAAACCCTTCAGGGTGGTTGTCAGGTGACCCGATTGCGCACTTGCACCGAAAATCCAGTGCTGCCTAAGCCTACTGCCACGTTTAGTGGCTTTGGAGGAAGAGCCAATAAAAATGCCAGACGCTATTGATTGGGAGGGGGGAGGGGGGGGGGACACGGATTGCATTTGCACAAGTAATTGCCTGGTTAAGCGAAAGTTAACAGTTGGAAGGAAAAAAGCAGTGTAAGCGGGATATCAGGATGAAGGAGTGCAGCCGTAGCAAGTAATTACAATGTGCCACAACCGCTTATTTTAAATCTGTCAAGGATATACATTTGCTTAGTTAATCTGATCAACACTAACAGGACTGATTCAGTTTTACTGTAAAATAAACGTTGGAGAAGGAGATGCATGGTCCACCAATCACCATATTTGTAGTGAATTGCGGCACTTGATAACTCCGACAAAAACGGTAGCGATAAAAAATAGAAAAAGCAATATGACAGTATATGGGGGGGGGATATTTGACCCTGAAAGCCAACGATATCGTTACTATCGCTTCCTCATAACACTGAAACCTTATTTTTATAAGTAATGTATCTTGCGTTTAATTTGAAAATAAAGAACACACCGCGCCCATCCTATGAGCTTTCATATGATCGCCGGCTATCACAAATCACATTTTCTTGGAAAAATAAACACCAAATTTCTACTCATTTTGCATCATTATTTCATCATTTGGTGACATGGCTTGCCTGCACATCTTTTCATGAGAATATATTGTTGAAATCACATTTTACCTCCCTGTGATTGCCTCTAGGAACCTCCCTACAGATGGTCTCAGAAAAAAGCTGTGATGTTGAAGACGATGAAGATTTATCTGCTCGCATGCATCATACCCTGCTTCTACCCCACCGACCCTCAACTGCACCCGCTTCAGGCCGTAATTCTAACTTCAACCAATCCCCAAAGATTTCCGCAGCAACATTTGTCGCAGCCACTACCAAGAAATCAACTCCACCGAGTAGCTCCATGCGTTGGAATCCCTTCTCCCATCGACAAAGGCGCTTCAGTGGCGATGAGACGCAAGAAAAACAACACCTACCCGCAGTTCAATCAGCTGTGATTGGAGCGGGAGAGGAGATGAGCAGTGTCAGTCGTCTTGTTGCTTTCCGACGGGCAAAATCCTGTCGACGAAAGGATGAGAGTGGCGAGGAAATTCCAGAGCCCCCACCAGATAGAATGCCGTCTCAGGAATGTCTGGACAAAGTCTTGGAAGAAGAAACTCAAGAAACGCAATCACCACTGCCAACGATTTTAAGCGAAATACCGACGCGAGGTCGACACCATAGTCTCAAAAAGTGGTGGTTTCGTTGATTATGTCCTACTCTCCTCCCCTCCTGCTTGAGTGAATCAAAGCATTCTCATTTGTACAAAGTTGCACCTCTATTAATGTGTGTAGAAATATTCCCCTTCCTACGGCTTTCTTCCATGCGCTTTCAAGGAGACAAGACAACCCGCTTTTTTGCTCCCAATCAGAGAACAGAAGATTCCTTACTCCTCTTCCCCCATTTTAAAATCAGTCTTCTTGGCAAAAAAACAGGGGGCAAAATGAACTATGAATAAAAGACAATACGTGTATTCTACATTTGCGCCTACGTACAAGAAGACTGTGTATTCTAATAAAATAATCTGTTTTATGATCCTTTTGGATAAATAAAATCTTGATCTATGAAAGCACAGCCTTTTATTTTCAGTAGCGAGGAAGTTTTTATGGAGGATGTTCGCTGGAAGTCATTTAAATGAAGTTTAAGCAGCAACAATTGTAGGTAGGCACAAAATAGAAATAAAGCATTGTCATTTGACGCAGACGTGTCCAAGGTAGTTAAGAAAATGAATTTCAACTATTTGAACAACAAGAAACGACCAAAGAAAAAATCATGAAACTATCAAATAAAGTAAATAAAGATCTATTTCAGTTAACATGTTTCAAAATAGCATTCTATGATAAAAAAACCGGGAGACTTTATTGGCGAATTTCTATGAATGGCAAAATAGAGATTGAACAAGATAGGAGAATATGCCATAGCATAGTTCAAGATAAAAATAATTACAATTTGGTATGAAGAGCTATTGTGTCTGTTGCTCCTGTGCTTTCTTTTTCTCCGTTTTGGCACGAAGAGCGGCAGCATCCCTAAAAATAGATTAAATTCAATAAATTATAGTATTTACCTTTCCCGTCTTTCCTGTAAGGTAAGGCCTTTGTTGCCTCCCTTATCTTTGGCACTGGAATTCTTCTGCAGCTCCTTCTGCTTAGCTTGATTCCTCTTCCGAGCTAATTCACGCTGATTTCCTCCTAAAACACTATCAATTAACAAAACCTAAATGACAGATCTTACGGGTCATAGCACTCCTAAGAGCAACGACAAACGAAACACTCAAATCAAAGTAACGCCGAACAATAAATGATACGTTAGATCGATAAAAACAAAAAACAAAGATTTAAAATTACTATTTAAACACATTAAATTTAAATTTAATTGCTAAGAGAATTTGAATTAAATATTTTTAACAGTTAAACGTTTATTTCGCAATCAAAATTTACACTGTTTAAAATGAAAGTTCTGTTGAACTTTATTTATGAATACGATCTTTTCAATAAAAAATTCCGATTTTTCAAACGATACAAAGGAAAAAATTATAAATATAAACAACACAAGACGAGATCAACTGGACTGTTCTATGTGAATTCCGCGATCCGAACCATTTCAATTAATTTCATTTTGGTCACTTATATTTCAGTTTACTTAAAAATGGTCCGGAAATGTAGAAATATCAGTTAGAGTATTTTGCTTATTTCTGCTACGTTTTTGCGTATTTGATTAGAAAAGAATCGGCATTTACAAATACTAATATCATTCAGAAAACTAAGCATGGAGAATGTTTCTTATAATTTTCAAGTTAAACTGAATGAAAAAGCGAAAATTTTGAATTTGAATTTATTTTGGCTTTTCGTGAATTTTAGAGCAAATTCTTAATAATAATGAAATCTGGAACCTTAGCATGTTAAGTATTTAAAATAATTGCCAATCAATATTAACGGAAGTTACTCTAATCACTTTTCAAAATTAGTTTCGGAATTAATCACATAAACATGGTGGATTAGCTTCATTTATAAGTTTTGACTAAACTCAGAAATTTCTGTCAGAATTTCCTAACCGAAAAGGCTATTGTGATGATGGAGAGAAGGAAGACGTGTTTCAAGCGAAACGTTTATTGTAATTTATGATATCGACAAACATGATTAGTTATCAAACAAATCTTGCGTAATTTGAGTGAACGGTAATAGCTAAATATCCGAGCCGTGCTCTGCTTGTACGATCGCACGAACCAAAGTGTTCGAGTGCATATGTCTTCATGCGAGGATTGCGCACACCACATAACGGACACGATATATGTTTATGTGCCGGTTTCGTTGCGTGCTTAAGCTCCATTAAAATGTTATTGTCAGATTTATCAGGTAGGTAAAAATGAAGATATCTAAATAGGAATGTAATGGTATATATTAAATTAAACGCCTATACCCACCTGTTTATAGCACTTAAAAATGGAATAATATCTTTCAATTACTTATGAGTTTCCAGCCAAATAAATGTAATTCATGCAATGTATGATTACAAAAATTAAGCTTATAAACAAAAGCCATTAATCCAGGGAAACTTCCTAATTAATAAAATCTTAATGCTCATCAAATGTTAATAAAATCAAATATTTCTATTCAGGGCGATTAAAAAATAGAGTGGGCCCAATTGCTAACCGTTAGAGACCTAGCCTTCATTGGTTTACGAACACTGACTTTCTCTTTCAGAAACGAATATGTATCTAATAATGAAAAAAGTACGTTTTTAAGCCAGCTTCGATTCTTTGATATTAACTGTGGTTTCCAACCTTTTCCCAACAGGCTGATGAATTAAACTGGTTTACGTAGGCATTTACTAAGAAAACCTGCTAGGTCAAAGTTAGCTAACTTTAGGCAACTCGGAAAATCGTAAATTATTTAAAGATAGGGTTTTGAAAGATAATTTTAGCATAAGAAACGAAATTGTGGGGAAATGGTCCACAAGTTTGTTAATGATGAGGATTAAAATTCTGCAATTTTCAAGATAAAGAATAGCTTGAACAGACACTGGAGTTAAATTTGTGATCTACTAAATCGCAAATATAATGGATGAAAGCTTATTGGCAAAATCAAAGGCGACGCTTTGTCATTCTATTAATCAGATCAGTTTGCTTATATTTCGATAATCCTCATAAAATAAGCATAGCATTAAGAAGATAAGGGAAGATATATATATATATATAAGAGAGAGTAAAGGAATAATGATATATAAAATATGCCAAGATATTCATTTTTCTAAAGATATTAAAATTCTTGCATGTAGAATATTTTTTTTATTAACGTGGATAGTTCGATGAAAAAATTCAGTCATGCAACCTTAAGATAATTAAATTCTATTTTTAAAGAATAAATTTACTCTGGTTGAGGAATTTTATCACAACTTTCTAATTTTAATTGCAACACGTATTTCTATTATCCAATAGCAATCGCGAGATTCTTCTTATTTCGTTGGCTTCGCGTGATTAGCGCCCGCAAATAGCACTATCGTATTTAAGGCGGGTTTGAATGCAAGTTTACGCCTTAGATGTCTTCACCTCCACCAGCGAAGAGACGGAATACTAATTTGTCTGATAAGCCATCCACACCACTCATCAATATTAACAATAACAAATTTAGTAACCACACCAATCACGTATGCTTTTAATTTCCTTAATCACCTATTAATAGAATATGGGAACAAATGGTGAATCGGGTGTTGATGAAAACTTGTATAGCCGTCAAATCTATGTCGTCGGCACAGATGGTATGAAGAAAATGGCTCATACCAAAATTCTTATTACGGGCATGAGTGGATTGGGCCTGGAGATTGCCAAGAATCTTGTGCTTGGTGGTGTTGGGTCTATCGATTTACATGATCCTGAGGACATCACATCTTCGGAATTATCATCAAACTACTATGCATCGCCTCAGGATGTTGGCAAAAACCGCTGTGAAGTGGTTCGTGCTAAACTGGCCGAGCTCAACAATTACGTCACACTCAACGTCGTAGAAGACAAAGAACTTACCACTAATATTTTGCGCAACTACCATGTTGTGGTTTTTGCAAGAGGCAATATGCATCAGTGGAAGAATTTAAGCAGAATCTGTCACGAACTGAAGATCAAGATTGTCTGCACTAGAACCTGTGGTCTTTTTGGCCAAGTGTTCTGCGATTTTGGAAAGGATTTCATCGTTACTGATACTACTGGTGAACAACCAGTCTCAGTTTTTATTCAATCTATCGAAAAGGTTTGCTTTCCTTTTTCCTTCTTCATTTGTTTTATTCAGAGCACTGAGGGTATTGTACTGAGCGTTGAAGATTCCAACCATGGACTGCATGATGGAGATTATGTTACTTTTTCTGAGGTCAAAGGAATGACAGAGCTGAACAACTGTGAGCCTCGAATGATCAAAGTAATTGGCCCTTCTGCATTCTCCATCGGAGATACTTCGAATCTCACTCCTTATACAGGTGGAGGTTTGTGCACTCAGGTGAAAATGCCAGAAAAGATTGATTTCCTTGAAATGTCAGAAGCTTGCAGCAATCCCTCTTTCCTCACTAGTGATTTTGCTAAATTGGAAACTCCGTCCCAACTGCATCTCTTCTTTGAAGCCCTCTCCGTATTTGAGATGAATCAAAATCGCCTTCCTTTGCCATGGAACGAAGAGGATGCAGAAACTTTTCTTGAATTCTGCAAGTCTGTTAACAGTGATTGGGCTGAAACTCAAGCTCATGTTGAAGAGATTAATGAAGAGTTAGCCAAGATTTTTTCCTTCATTTGTGCTGGCAACTGCTGTGCTATTCAGGTAAGGGGTTCAATTTCCTTATCTAAATTAACCCTAATTAGTCCATTTTCGGTGGCATTGTTGCCCAAGAAGTGATGAAAGCTTCCACAGGCCATTTCAGACCAATTATCCAGTGGTTCTACTTTGATGCTATTGAATGCTTGCCGGAACCTTGGTGTAAATGCAAGTCTGGGACCGTTTTATCTAAGGATAACCTTATTACTGATGATTTCCGTTATGAGGGCCAATGTAAGATCTTCGGAAAGGAGTTCCAGGATAAACTTGGAGACCTCAATTACTTCGTGGTAACTTGATCGATTTTGTTCTCTTTATCCCTCTTTGTCATAGGTTGGGGCAGGAGCTATTGGTTGCGAGCATCTGAAAAACTTTGCCATGATGGGTATCTCCTGTCGTAATGGCAAACTCTTTGTCACTGATATGGATATTATCGAGAAATCCAATCTTAATCGTCAATTCCTTTTCCGTCCTTGGGATATCGGAAAGTGCAAATCAAGTACTGCAGCCTCCGTTGTTAAGACCATCAACCCCCAACTCAACATTGTTTCGCACGAGAATAAGGTTTGTCCTGAGACGGAGGATGTTTATGATGACGCTTTCTTTGAAGCCTTGGACGGTGTTGCTAATGCTTTAGACAATGTTGAAGCCAGAACGTACATCGATCGTCGTTGTGTCTATTACCACAAGCCCCTCTTGGAGTCTGGAACCCTAGGAACCAAGGGTAACGTCCAAGTGGTCATACCACATCTGACGGAGTCCTATTCATCTTCTCAGGATCCTCCAGAGAAGTCAGTTCCAATGTGCACTTTAAAGCATTTTCCCTATCAAATTGAGCACACTATTCAATGGGCTAGAGATAAGTTTGAAGGTCTCTTCGTTCAAGAATCGAATGCTCTCAGCGCATACCTGAAAAATCCTAGTGATTACCTCACCAAGGTTACCACTATGGGAAACCAGGCTGCTGAAGTTCTTGAGCCCCTCAAAAAGAACCTCACTTCCGATTGTTCCAGAAGCTTCGATGAGTGTATCTCATGGGCTCGCAATCTCTGGCAAGTGCTGTACTCCAACTCTATTCGTCAACTTCTTTTCAATTTCCCTCCTGATCACAAGACTACCACTGGTGCTCAATTTTGGTCGGGCACGAAACGATGTCCGAAACCCCTCGTTTTTGACGTCAATGATGTAAATCTTATGCTCACATATATCATCTTAAATTTTGAATTGTAATGGCTATTTTTTCTTTATTATAGCCAACTCATCTGGACTTTATTGTTTCGGCTGCGAACTTGCGTGCTTTTATGTTTGGTATTCCAGAATGTCGTGATACGTCGTTGATTGCAAAGAAGGCTGCTACGGTTAATGTCCCAGAGTTCATTCCCCGAAGCGGTGTCAATATTGAAGTTAATGATTCTGAGATGATTGCTAGACCACGCAATGCTGGAAAGGAATTTGAGGTCGAAGAGTTGAAGAAGTCTCTGCCGAAATGTGGTATGCGTTTTGACTGCGTTTCATCTTGTGAAATTTTAATATTTCTATTACGTGTTTATTCATTGCTGAAGTTGCAGTCAAGAATTCACAAGTGATTGAATTCGAAAAGGATGATGATACCAACTTCCACATGGACTTCATTACTGCTGCAAGCAATCTCCGTGCAGAAACTTATTCCATTCCTCCAGCTGATCGCTTGAGAACTAAATTAATTGCTGGAAAGATCATACCCGCCATTGCGACAACAACCAGCATTGTTTCTGGTCTTGTCGCTCTTGAGCTCATTAAGGTACTTTCAAGAATACTCCTACCACGCTAGTTTTTTTTTGTTTTACTTGTCCTAGAGTAATGATTGAATTCGCTTTCTTTGCAGCTTGCACAGGGTCATAAGAATTTGGAGTTGTACAAGAACACCTTCTTTAATCTCTCGCTACCTTTCTTCGGTTCCTCTGAACCAATCCCTCCCAAGTCCTGGCAATACTACGAGAAAACGTTCACAATTTGGGATCGCTTTGAAGTCTCTGGTGGCAAGACCCTTCAACAGTTCTTGGATCATTTCAAAGATGAGCACAAACTGTTAATCACTATGCTCTCACAGGATGTCTCAATGCTCTACTCTTTCTTTATGCCCGCTAACAAGCGCACTGAGCGTCTCTCTATGATGTTAGTTGGCTCCCCTTTTCCGCCTTTCTTATAAAAGCAGATGTCAATAATTTTTTTATATTTTTAGGATGCCGCGTTTAGTGGAGAACGTAAGTAAGAAGACTATTCCACCTCATGTCAAGTCTTTGGTATTCGAGCTCTGTGCTACTGATCTGGATGGTGAAGACTTAGAGGTTCCCTATGTGCGTTATGTTCTAGACGGTACCAGAAACTAACTCCATTTTTTGGTTGCTCTACCTGAAAAATTCAATGTGTAACCTCTCCGCTATGTCTCCCCCTGCCCGTTTCCCCTCTGTTGTCGCGCAATAATCACTTTCATTTTTGCGAGAAATGCTTGGGAATAATCTTTGTGTGATGCGTGTGCGTTTTGTGTAGGTCAAAATCACCAAGCGAATACACGCATTTAACGCAACACTGTTTTCTCGTTACTTTACAGCTCGTTGTGCTAACGTCCTTGAAAAATTAACTGGTGTCACTTGTCTAGTAAGTCTCTGTGTGATTGTTTGTGTGCTTGTTTAGTTCTCGTAGCAGTGATAATCTCTTACCTGGTTCAGAGTAGCTCACCTCTCTTCAAGGATGCCTATTTGTCGTGTCTACCTGGACTGTGCGCCTCCCTCCCCCTCCCCTTATAAAGAACCCAGTTGAGTCTTTTAGCTCTATTGTGTGCATGTCGTAAGATCAATAGTGTATTTGTCTCACTTGTTGCTAACACACCTGCGACAGGTGTTTAAAGTTGCGTGTGTGTTAGATATTGGTGCACTCCTTTCCAATCAAGGATTAGTGATGTTTCTATGTCTGTATTGGCCATTTTGCTTAGTTATATTTTATTTGAGGTTGGGGGGGGGGGTATTTTAGATTTGCTCTGTTTCTGTTTGCTGGAATTGCCAGAAGTTGGCCTTTGTATTTAGGTAGAAGGATTAATACATATTGATTTTACATTTTGACCCCCTTCTAATTATATAAATGACGGTTTTTGTTAAATCAAATATCGGGCTTAAATTTTACATAAAATTCCCGTTAGTAACATTCACCAGATTACCGTTCTCAAGAATTTATGCCTAGGTTATACTGAGAATGAATTCTAGTGTTCCAAAAGTCGATTGCGTAGGTCACTGCTAATCAGTAAGTGGTATGAGAGATAAAATACATTTCTGAACTTTGAGTTGAATAGAGTTCAAGGTTCTTATCTAAAGTAAAAGACACCGCATTTAATTTATTCCCGGTGTAAATGTTGAAATGTTTCACAGGAAAGTGCGAATGCTCCTTTTCGCACAAT